ATGAGAAAAGGGCGTGGAAGGTTTTGATCCTTCTGTTCTAGGAGGAAATTAGGTGGCCTATTCCATCTTAGCGTCCGTCCAACACACAACGTCTATACAAAGGATTGCGTATGAAAAGTATTGAAACCGTCCTTTCTAGTAAAATTGCTGCTGTCTTTTTTGCTGTTTTTATTGTTGCCGGAACTATGTGATATGGTTCGGCAACTATCCCGATTGAATTATTTGGCTCCGCCACTGCTCCCAACTCCCAAGCAGATATAGACCGGTAACTTTCAGTGTCAAGGCATAAGATTTGATTTCAAAATCTCTAACTTGCTATGTGTCTGCAACCGGTATTCTAAAACGTTGGAGTTATTTTTTCTTGGAATTTGGTTGATTACAAGTTCATTTTCTTGGTTTTTAAACTTTGAATAGTGACATTTTCATAAACCAGTTCTCATGCTATCGTTGCAACATGCCATGCATTATTTGTGTTGAAGGGTTAATTTTTACATATAGTCACCAAACTTTATCTATTATAATAAATTACAAATATATTTTGCCACATAAAAGTAAGTGAACCAAACAAAGGCGATAACAATATGTCGGACTTGAATCTTGAAACCACCAACAAGTTAACATTTTTATTTAAAATTATCAAATACGTATGACCAGTGGCGGAGGCAGGATCTCTGCTAAAGGGATTAAAAAAAGTTAAAAAAAATTAAAGAGACCATGTCCAATGGAAATTAAACCAGTAACCTCACAAATATTTTTGATTTTCTTCTAAATCTGCCCCTGCATATGGTTGGGTTGTACTTAAATGTCAAAATATTTTGCAACAATTCATCGTTAGCCGGAATGACTTATATTTTTTGAGATATATCAGAAGGAGTAATATACAACAACAATAACATATCCGGTCTACTTTCACAAGTGGGATCAGAAAGAGTAATATAAATAATACACATTTTCAATTCATCAATTTGATAAAAATAGAGAAGCAAAGTAAGTTTTCTTAGTGTCTGTTTGCATCTTACTTCCTGCGGTTCACTTTAATAGATTTTTTGATTTTTTTGTAGTCCACAATATTTGATTTTTTCATATATCAAGAATGAATGAACCACTTTTTTCCAAAAGTTACCCTTGGAGTCAAGAGTCTAGGAGTATTTGTTATATTTCCAATGAACAAATTAAGGTTATATAATTAATTTTATTATTAATTAATATTAAAAAGTGAATTCTTTAATATGTGTGAAAATAGCCAAAGATCCATTAAATTAGACCGGAGGGAGTATTGATGAAGGAAGTCATATTGTATTAACCTAATTGTGGTCCTAAGACATTACTAGTAAGTGGCCGTCACAATTGATTGAATGCGATATATGAAAATGGCATTAATTAGACTATTTAAGAGTATAGTTGGGCTTTGTCCCTCAACTCGTTATATCTAATTAAATTCAACAACTGAAAGTTCCTTGTCTTCACTATACAACTATGTGCCATTGAAAATGAAGTCACATATTGTCTTTTGTCCGTAAAAGTTATTTTTTTTTGTTTTGATTTTTTATTTTAAGGGTAATTTTGGAGGAAAATTGTCTTTTTGTTTAAACGTGAGAAAATAAATAATCTACAAAGATGAGTATTTTGAAGGAACAAGGATATTGCGCCAAATTGAAAACGTTTTACAAATTCATTGAGATGTAACTACAAAGTTATTAGTCGGAAGTGAATACGTTTGAACCTCAAAGAGAGAAAATTTACAAGTTTGATGACTCTGAAAGTCGAATCATCTACTCTTTCCGTTTTAATTTATGCGCTATACTTTGAGTCGATACCGATTTTAAGGAATAAAACAATGATTTTAGAAATATGTGGTTTTAAATATGTTATAAGATTTATATTGCTATAACACTTTTGAAACTTATAAAATTATGGTCTTAAACATACCATAACATTTGTGTGACTATAAAAACTTCTCATTAAGGGAAAAAAAATAAATATGTAAGATTAAACTTTTATCAAATATAAAAATATGACATTCTTTTATAGATGGACTAATAAAGCAATAGTAGTGTCACTTATAACTTGTTTGGCCAAGCTTCTCCTAGGCCAAAAATACTTTTTTAAAATAAAAGAAATACTTTTTTTAAAGTTGAGGTGTTTGGCCAAGCTTTTACAAGAAGAAAAATTTTTTTTTTTTCGGTAGAAGCAGAAATATTTTTTGAGAAACAAAGAAAAGTAGCTTCTCCCCAAAATAATTTCTTTTTTGAAAAACATAATTTAAGAAAGTGCTTTTCAAATTAATTAACCAAACACAAATTACTTTTCACCGAGAGTACTTTTTTGAAAAGCACTATTTAAAAAAACACTTCTCCAAATAAGCTGATTTGAAGTTTGGCCAAACAGTCTATTAGACCAGAATGAATGGAGGATTAACTAATAAGACTGATGTCTCTAATAAAATGATTGGAGAAGAACTTAGTCACTTAATTGCTTAAGTTCGATAATTCTAAAACTAATTACCTACCAACGAATAGAAAACCGACCTGTTATATAGGGACGGCATTATATAGGGGCATTAAACTTTAGTTTTAATTGTCTCAATTAAAGAAACTACAGATACATAGTTTGATCATTAATCAGTTTCATATCTTCTATCGAGGGGATCAACTTCTCCAAATTTTCTTAAAAGGGAAATTGTTAAGGAATTTTTTTTGATAATTTCAAATGTCAAACTAGCCATTGACTAATACAACAGAAGAGGGCCCCTTTCTATAATAACATTAATGTTAGGACAACCTTAGATTTAGAGGAGAAGTTGGTTGAAATAGCAATTTTCTAATCACCAACTTTTCTTCAAATCTTAATTGCAATGCTTTGTGACTTATCATGATGAGGAATAATATAGTAGTACGTAGTACATACTAAGAGAACTTGTAATTAAAGTTGTCGCCATGTGATCAGGAGATCACTTGTTCGAACAGTAGAAACAGTCTCTTGCAGAAATTCAAGGTAAGACTGCGTACAATAGACCCTTGTGATCCGACCCTTCCGCGGACCCCACGCATAACGGGAGCTTAGTGCATCTGACTGTCTTTTTTTTTTTTTTTTTAAAAATCTACGAAGAGATTAACGAAAGGAAAGATAAATAGGTTAAAGTAAACGAATCGATAAAAGTTGAGCAATGATTTGAAGTTTATTGATTCTGAGCTTTGCTTCTGAGCCCATAACCTCTCATGGTTACGTTATTGGATTCATAAATATATTTAATAGATTTTCTAATACAAATACACGATTTAAAAACTACTAGATTCGGCCGAACTCGTGGCTAATAATCTAGCTGCGCTCCACTACAAATTTTATTGACATTATAAGTATACATAACATTAATTTAAGTTTTTATATCTGTCAATCATGGGTTTTGTATCATAGTTACTCTTAATAGTAACATTATTCCAACTAACTTTTCTAGCTGTTAAATACACAATCATTTCCATCAATATAACAACTCAACCGATTCTTAAATGTTATTGCCGAGTTATTAATTGTAAAGTAGAGAGGGTACGTCATGGAGTTCTCATGACCTTTGTTTTGTTGGAATCAACTTGCTAAAAGAAAAGGCTACAAAATTAGGCTGAATTCTTATCACGTTAGCACCTTTCTCCTTTATTTACAAAAGTATTTTCAGAAAGTTGAAGACCTTTTATATTTAAAGCAAACTCAGTATTATTCTTAATTAGTATAGTTGCTAAAAGTAGGTAAAGAGTCTATACTTAAGAAATGATTTGTTTTCATACATCTAAATTCTTACTACAGTTGGTAAAATAGTTTTAAAGCAAGAATGATATTTCAAGTTTATAAATTAAAAAAAAGGAGAAAAGTTAACATAAATAGTTGTACACTCAATCACTTAAACTAAAAATAGTTTGATGATATATATTATACGTATAATTCATGTATGAAATGTATATAATCATATATAATCAATATATATTATATTTATACCGTCTAGAAAAAGTAAACGATGAATCATGCTGGCTATTTGTGTAAATACTCCAAACAACAAAATTTAGTGAAGAGTATATGTAGTATAAGTTTTCTTGTTTAAAGTGGCAGGTTAGTGTCATAGGTTCTTGAGTGACTAACAAGATTTTTTAACAGAAATTTCTTAACCTATCTATGTTTTTTTCTGCCTTAATGCTTCTATGCTTTTGACCTTTAATTCAACAACAATAACCCGATATCCGAATAAATGAGAAGGATTGCGATAAATTAATGGCCAAAATAAACCGTATCAATAACCAACATATCATATAGGAGAACAGAATATTGTTCAATAATCAAGTAATCATTTAGATGCAAATCTCATAGTGGATCAATTAACAATACAAAAATAATAATACGATAAGGATAATGACTATAGATTTAAAGATGCATAAGGTAAGGAGAAAAAGGGGAAAAAAAGAGCTTCAAGTGAATAGTGTATGAGATATCGGACGTCTTAGAGAAATTAATCTAAATAATAATTTGCCCTAAAAATAGTTGATATATATAGTTTATGTATACCGATTAAGAGTTGTTAATATTTTTGGCCGAGCGTCCAATTGCGTATCTTTCCTGACTTTTTACTAGCTGCTCGAGTCCGATAAGAAATCGATCTTTATACAAATAACCGACCAAATTCATTATTTACTTTTTTTAGTCATATACATAGATTATACACATATAATTCATAAATTAAGCATATATTATATCTCCACCGACTATTTTTAATTTAATTGGTTGGATGAGCGACTATTTCAATTAATTTTTCTACCTTTAAAACTCTAGGCAATTGCCAGTAGTATATGACATCCTCGAGAAGATATTAAAGACAAGCTGTACTGATACTGAAATAACATAAATGTAACTATTATTAGATTTAAACCAGTAAACTTCTTACAAATGTCACACATCCAGCTTTTTCTCTATATATCTTGTTCTTACCTAAAACATGTACAACCATGTGACTGAAAAATATCACCAAAATCACTTCCTTTCCCCTTTCACTTTACATAATTTTAGTACTATAAATACATACAACTCTAAGCTACCAAAACAAAACACACCACACACAAGAAACACAAAAAATTATATCACTATATTCAATATGGGAACTCTTTATCAACCCCTCGAATCAACTATTCAAGAACTTAAGGTCACAATTCAAGACACAAGCTTAGTTTTTCCTTCAGAAGAAACTCAGAAAAAACCTATGTTTTTATCAAATATTGATCAAGTCCTCAATTTTGATGTCCAAACGTTGCATTTTTTTCCTGCCAATTCTGAATTTCCACCAGAAATTGTGAAAGAAAAACTCCGAAACGCGTTATCGAAAGTACTAGTTCCATATGATTTTTTGGCTGGGAGGCTTAAGATGAATCACCAAATTGGAAGGTTGGAAATAGATTGTAATGCAGAAGGGGCTGTATTTGTTGTAGCTTCAAGTGAATTAACATTAAAAGAAATTGGTGATTTGGTTTATCCTAATCCTGGATTTAGACAACTTATAACTCAGAGTATTGATCTCTTGGAAAAAGATGATAAACCACTTTGCATTATCCAGGTATGAAACATGTCCTTTAGGTACTGCGCTCTCTGTTCCAGTTTATATGATACTGTTATTATTTTCGGAGTCAAACAACTTTTGTCTTGATCACAACTTTCTCGTATATAATTTATTACTTTTAATTATATAAATTAGAAAGTTGTGATTTTGTTGTAGTTTAATCAAGCTTCTAATTATGTAAATTTAATTTATTTTTAAAACATTATAAAATGATGTCTAGATTTAGACCGAAAACTTGTATGTTTGTTTTTCGTACTCCGAACAATTTCATTCTTTATCAATGATTTATGTAGTGACGACATAAATTTTTTTATACTATCAATATAATTTTAACAGATTATATAGGTTATTAGTTTATCTTTTAGGTTCTTAAATCATGCTTAATACGTTGAGAGTTATTTATTATACTGTCAGTACATTGTAACATAAAGTCGTTTCTATTTCAATTGTTTCCTAATTATTATTGATATGGTCAGGGTATTAGTTGCTTGCATAACCATATATAGAAATTTAATAAAGTTTCATGGACAATTCATTTAAAATAAATCGCCTATATGTGGCTTTAGTAATTATAGGAAATCTTAAGAGATCTATCAATAGTTCGCTTATAGAAAGTCACTTATCCACCCACAAGTTTGCCACTATTAATTTTGGTCCCAAAATATTTGTTTGTCTCTATTTCTTGTGACTTCCTCCTTTTTTTTAAAGACTAATCTTATAATTGTCAAATTCTCATCTGAATATTTCTCTCACTTGAAATGTTTTTGCTAATAATAATTTTTTAAAAAAAATATAATGTTCGTCGCATTGTGAAAGAGCTCTTCTTTTCTCTCCCAAAAGAAAAGAGAAGAAGGTAAGAATTAAAAATTGGCCTTTTTAAGAAATGTATTTTATTTCCATTAAAGGTAACATTAAATGAGTAGCTTTAATTATTGTAATATTGGACCTAGCTAGAATAGAAGCGCAGAGCAGTCATTAATTAATTCTCTTCGAGTTTTTACCAAATGCCAACTACTCAATGATACAAATAATGCCAATGTTTTGGGCGGCCTCCTATATCAGGATAAGTAAATGATGTTCTTTCACATCTTGTCTCATCTTTGATGTTAATTAACAACAAAGGTGAATTTAAGACGGATTTTATAGTTTAATTCAACTCATTATTTTCAAATCGAATTATATATACATATGATAAAAATTAAAAAATTTAAGAAAATATACTTATACTAAATTTATCTATATGACCAATCATTTTCAACACCTAACAATGTGAAATTGTTACTCTTTTGTTTTTATTCATTAGTTAAAAAGGATAAGAACAAATTTTTTTCACTTGGTATCCCCCATTTTACTTTTTCATAGACAAATTTGGGGTCATATATACTTTTAAGGTTAAGCCTTCGCCTATTACGCAGCTCTCCTAGCTTTTCAAAAGACAATAAACACAAGATTAATATTGATCTTAGAAGATTAAGATCCATAATTTATTATTGAGACACATTGGCATTAAATTCCATGTGCATGCTAAATTACATATCATTGTCAAGCCACATTAAATGATCATAAATGGGTTTGAGAACCATATTTCTTCTCCAAAGCCACAAGATTTGGTCATGCGACAGATATAACCATTTATTTTTTTAGAATTTTTATACAAATAATCGGCCAAAATTATAATTTATTTTCTTAGACAGTATACATAAATTATACATGATTGAACACATTTATATATATATATATATATTGGATGAGCTGTTTAGGTAAATTTTTTAATTGTTTTTACCTCTTTTAGGTGACATCATTTAAGTGTGGTGGTTTTGCTATGGGCACATCAACAAATCACATAACCTTTGATGGAACAAGCTACAAGATTTTCTTACAAAACTTAGCTTCTCAAGCATTTGGTGATGACAAGCCCTTAGCTATTGTCCCATGCAATGATCGTTCTCTTTTAGCCGCTCGATCACCACCACGTGTCGATTTCCCACATCCTGAATTACTCAAATTGGAAGTCCCTATAGGTGAAGAACTAAATCCTACAGTATTTGAAACCCTAGAAGAAGAGCTTGTGTTCAAAATATTTAAGCTTAATTCAAGTGACATTAGTTCATTGAAGGACAAGGCAAAAGACGAAAATGCCCCTCATGCAAAAGTTACAAGTTTTAATGTGGTAACTGCTTATGTATGGAAATGCAAGGCATTATCTTTTGATGTTGAGAACAATTCAGAGAGAATTTCCACTGTTTTATTTGCTGTTGATATAAGGCCAAGGCTAAATCCACCATTACCAAAATCATACACTGGAAATGCTGTTTTGACTTCCTATGCTTCCGCCACGTGTCACGAACTCGAAGAATGGCCATTTTGTAAAATTGTGGCTATGGTATCAAAAGGGGCTATGAGAATGACTGATGAATATGCTAGAAGTGCAATAGATTGGGGAGAATTTTATAAGGGATTTCCAAATGGAGAATTTTTAATTTCTTCTTGGTGGAGATTAGGGTTTTCTGAAGTGGAATACCCTTGGGGAAAACCTAAGTATAGTTGTCCAGTGGTTAGCCATAGAAAAGATATTATTTTGTTGTTCCCTAATATTGATGATGGTATTACAAGCAGCAGCAATGATGGGGTCAATATTTTGGTTGCTCTTCCTATCAAACAGATGGAGAAATTTGAATCCTATTTTAATAAGTTTTTGTTGGCTTAAGATAATACTTTTTTTTTTAAAAAAAATGAAAGATTCTTATATATATATGTTGTAAACATGATGAATGTTGAAAATTATTTGTATGGTGCTTCTAAAATTATTATTATTATAAAGGATGATTTGCACAATTTTTTTTTTTTTTGGGAAGGGTTTATTGTAATAAATAACGGAATTTGATATATGGTTGTTTATATAATAATATATATAAAGATCTTGGCATGCATACTTGTGGATGATGTGTTACATAGGTACTTTTTGACTTTTCCTATAGAGAAATATTTATTAGTGTTTGATTCATATTTATACATAAGAAGTCAACACAATGGCGTAGCTACCCCATTACAAGGGTGGTTGAACACACTCCATTGATTTCGTTGAAAAATTATAATGTGTATATAAATTAAATACTATTTTATATGGTTATATATTATATTTGAACACCCTTCATATAGTTGAGAGTGATAATCCAGCGGTAGCGGTTCAGGGTGTTCAAAATGACGTATTGTTCACGAGTTCAAATTTCTGCCTATTTTATTTGCCAAAATTAAACGTAGACCACCATGTGTGGCCAATTTGATTCTTTTTCAATCTAAAATTTTTTCTAATAAAAAAACTCTTAAAATTTAAAATTTGTGTAGAAATAAATAACTAATTTAAAAAGTACTTTTTAACTAAAAATTATTTCTTAAATAAATTTTATAATTTAAAAGTCAAGCTCTACAAAAAATTCTTCAACAAAAGCTCTTTACAAACTGCAAATTCTCTCGACTCTCTCTTTTCTTTAGTTTTATGCTTACTTTTATTAGTAAAATTTTTGACGATGTCTTTTTTTTATTTTTTATTTTGATATGATTTATAAAATTATAGTTCTATTAAAAGTTTTTTTTAAGCTAAATGTTGTGTAGTAATATTTTGTTATACGATTCATTGATGAAAAAATTATTGACCTGTTTAAGATTTGAATTCCTTGAGGGAATTCCTGGCTATGTCACTGCTCCAACGAGAGCAATACTTGAAATGATAATCCATAAAAAATACCAAAGTGCACGTATTTTCCCAACGAGTATATTAACTTATTTTATTTCTTGGATATAATGTCATACATTGCCAAAAGGGAGAGCTAGGATTTTGAGTTCATGAGTTTCTGATCCTAGAAAGGACAATTTGCCGGGTTTTAGATAAATTATTTATACATATATATTAAACAGATGCATATTATAGTCGACGGCCACCAGTGCCATTTTCCCTTTGGCCATTAAAGTAAACAGCAGCAGTAGGTAAGCCAAGATTATGAAGCTGTGCAAAATCTCTTGTGTTGAAATTCTGACGACTTTGAGGAGCATAGACATTATTTTCTCGACGTAATTGCAGAAATAGCACGAAAACAAACCGATGTATTCCTATTGTAGGCCTTGGGCTCTCATAGGATACCACTTCATTGCCTATAAATTAACCCAATAAACAATCAAATAAACAAAACATAAATTAAAAATCATGTCTACTCTTATGGCCTATATGTTGCTCGGATTTTTCAAAAATTATGTCTGATGTGTGTCGGCAGTGGCGGTGCCACATACACTGAAGGGTGGTCAGTTGAACACTCTTCATCGAAAATTTATATTGTTCATATAAAAAATTATAATGTATATATAAATCAAAATTTACTTTTTATACATATATATTAAATCTTGAACACCCTTACTGAAATTTCTGATTTCGCTATTATATAGCGGATCCTCTAAAAGTAATATATTTTTTAAGGATCCAATACGAATGCAACAATTTTTTTGGAGAATCCACGCAACATAACTTATGGCTACTTTTAACTCTCAATTTTACGTTGTCTTTGTCTACTTATAACCCTAAAGGAAAAAAAATACTATTTCCTCGTTTCGAAAAGAATGATGAAATATAAGAGTAATAAAAATCGTACGTGATTAGAATGAAGGACAGAGACTTACCGAAGTTTACTCCTGTAGTTGCTGGGATATCAGTGACCAACCTAGCAAAGAATCAGCGCACTTGTTGAAATTGGGTAATTCCAAAAATGTTTTTTTTTTGTTTGCAATATGATATTCTTAAATTATCTGTAAAAGAATATGATATTTTTCGACCATATTTTATGAAACAAAAGTGAGTATAAGTTTTATTTCTAGCATTTGTATTCCATAGACTTTTCTTGACTTGTTACATAAATAGCCGGACAAATTTATTGTTTGTTTTTTCTAGCCGATATACATAGATTATGCACTGATTATATATAGTTATACATATATTATACATGAATAATACTTATATTATACACATATCAGCTAGTTACATAAATAGCCGGACAAATTTATATAGTTACGCTAATTTTGAAATTTAGTTGCGCTGTTCAAGCTCCCGTTTAAATCTTTTTTTTCCCCGCAGTTCTCATATAGTCTAAACAATCGGAATTTGTTAAATAGTTGACGAATAAATCAAAGGTTCTCTTTTGGCAAAATTTAAAGAACCCAATCTGTTCAGAAGTATGATTTCTATTCTTTCCAAGATACTCAATCCAGAAAGATCGGATTGAAGTGAATATATGCGAGAGCTACTGAAAATTGCCATATGTAGATTACAATGATAGAAATGTTGAAGTGTGTTAAAAAGTAGGTGAAAATCACGAGAAATTAGGATTTAAATTAATTCAAAAAGATAAGAACTCTTTCATTTTTGGAAAAATGACATTGTATATCTGCTTTAAAAATAATAGCCGAAAATATATAGAATACATTTATGTATATATAAAAAATATATAATTTTATACCCTTATACCGCTATCGGACGCAGAGGGGGACGCATATGATGACTTAAGGGGTCACCAGCACCCAAAAACTTCGGCAAAAACTCCATATATACTTGCAAATATTTTAAAAAAATAGCCAGATATTAGCATAGACCTCCGCACCAATCTTTGAACAGTGATAAATTTTTATTGAATGTCATGATGCCCCGTTTTAGTGGGCAAAATTAGAGTGGTATAAAGCTATCAGAGAAATCCGATATATTGGAAATTCTTATTATCACTGGTACGAGAACCATGCTTCTTTGAACTTTGAGGAATAACAGTGAAGGAACTTAAGGGCTCATTTGGGATGAGAGATAAGGGATAATTAATTTTGGGATTAAATTTGAGATGAGTTTATCCCAAGTTTGGTTGAGATAAAATCGTGATATAACTAATCCCGGAATTAATTATCCCGAAATTGTAGTATTTTTTTTATCCCCATGGGAGGGTGGGATAACTAATTCCGGAATAACTAATCCCGAAATAATTAATCATAGGATAACTTGTTTCCGAACCAAACAATTCTTTAAAGTACAAGAATGCAATACTTAAGATTTGAACATGCAGTCTAAAGTGATTATATTCTTATGCCACTTTTTTATTAAATTAAGAGCTTATTTATATGAGATCGAACAATTTATGTATGTATTAAATAAATTTGTTTTAGTGTATTAATATAATATAATTTTCTGGCGAAACAAATTCAAGTGATCCTCCTTTAATACACCCCAACGCCTAGACCTCAAACTCAAAACCACCTCTCACTTTCCAGAAAGCATAAGAAGAAAGAACAGTAAAACGAACATTTTAGTATTAATGGTGTAAAAACTAATTATATTGTCAGTATATATAAATTAAATCGACAAACTATATACTGACCAGTGCAAATACTCTCTCATGTTTGGGTTGGTTGGGGTCGGAGCATCAGGATCCACCATAACCTTAAAAAACAAGCGAAATTCCAAACATGTCTTGATAATTATTTCCAGAATAAGAAAACTACATGAAAAATCATGAAACCCTAGATTATACACTTGATTGTGTACAACTAGTGCAAAGGAACAAGAAATAATGGTATATATGGCTGGCCTTTGTTTTATTTTGTATGATGTAATTTGATTGGATACAATAGTTTAAGAATGAAGGAATTAAACAACTTTTTGTACATACCAAAAGTATCATAAGAGCCCGTGCTCTTAAACAGTCATGATATTTCTGTGGTTATAAATAAATGTTATTAAGGGTAAAATGAAGAGATCCTATAGAAAGACACAAATCTCATGTTCCCGTCTGAAATCCATAGAAATCTATGCTTTTCGATGAAAAGTCCGTTGGAAACATTTTTAGTAATGATTTCAATATAGAAAGGTGTTATTCTTCGTAGAACAGATAAAAACTGAAGACGAAAAGAGTGATATATAAAATGAATATAGGATTACCAGAGTGTAAAAGTTGCAAACATCTGCCCCTCCAATAACATGTCATGGTATTTCTATAGCTATAAGAACATGTTATTAAGGGTAAAATAAAAAGATCAAAGATAGAAATACACAAATCTCACGTGTCCATCCGAAATCCGTCGAAAACCTAAGCTTTCCGATGAAAAGTCTGTCAAAAACATTTCTAATATGGGTTTCAATATAGAAAGGTGTTATTCTTCGTAGAACAGATAAAAATAGAATAACGAAAAGAGTGATATATAAAATGAATATAGGATGTTTACTAGAGTGTTAAAGGTGCAAACATCTACCCCTCCTCATGACATTTCTATGGCTATAAGAACATGCTTTAACGGTAAAATAAAAAAAATCATAGTGAAAGACGCAAATCTCACGTGTCCATTCGAAATCCGTCGAAAACCTAAGCTTTCCGACGAAAAGTCTGTCACAACAATTGTAATAGTGGTTTCAATACAGAAAGATGTTATTCTTCATCGAATAGACAAAAACAGAAAGACGGAAAGAGTGATATATAAAATGAATATAGGATATTTACCAGAGTGTAAAAGTTGCAAGCATCCGCCCCTCCAATCTCAATCCTAGGCTGGTGAATAACCTGAGAAGGCCTAAAGTCACAGCCATTAATAACCTCTCTACTGTTGTAAACCACTCTTAGGTCAATAGATCTTGTAAATGGATCCAAAACATCTCCAATCACTCTACCAAGTACCAATGTGTCTCTTCCTCTTGCCATTTTCATACTAACACTTTTTGCTTAAATGAGATTTATTTCTTGCTTTAATACAGTTTCTTGCATGAACTCAATGAATATGATCAAAGGGTGTAGCTAACTATGACTATTTATAGTATGTTATATGTATGTTTGAGTATCTAAATATATGCTTCATGTCTTTTTGTGCCATTCCAAGAATCTAAACCTTTTTTATTCTTCTCTTTTTCTGCTACTTGGATATATATACCGTTATATTCGATCATCTTTCTGCAACTCAAAAACTTCCATACACGCAAGAGTTTATCAATCTTATTTGTTCTCATCTTCTTTCTATGCAACAAGTAGAAAATATCAACAGTGACAATATTGTTTAACTTCCTTGAGTTACTAGGAGCTGAGATTTCTTAGCTTTGTTAGGTGACAAAGTAAAGAATAATTACATTATCAACGTATTTTAAGCTACTATAACAGATAAGTGCAATCCAAATTAAAAGAGATGCATCATGTCATTCTAATGGCTGGCTTATGTGTTGAACAGAAGGATTTGAAAATGGAAGAACATCCCTATATGTGATTTGAGGCATGAGATTGAGGGTAGCTGAGAGACATGGGGAGGGGGGGAGTTACATGACAGGCTTGGGTACGGTTATTACCAATTAAAGAGGCCACAATTAAAGGATCCTCATTTTAGCTTAGTTCGTATATAATTGGTAAATATATGTGTTTACCCGTAAAACGGTACAGTTGAATTTATACATGGTTTATAGATAAGTGAATTAATTTGATCCAAAAAATAACAGATGAATTAGACAGAAATATAAGACTTAGCCTTAAAATTGGAATAAACCGACAGATATCTTAGTTTCGAGCGCAGAGCTACCGGGAGCAATAAGAACAGTGCAAATAAGCAAGAAAGTAAAATGCTATTTGAGCTTTTGATGAAGTATAGTATATGCTTGTTAGAAAATTTCGTGTCCTTACAATGATGATAGAGCTCACTATTTATAGTTACACCTAGGGAACAAGGTCCTAGGATTAAGCTCCTCTTTAATGATAATTATGAGGGCAATTGAAAAATGTGTAACGGTGGGCAGTGAATGCCATATTCTCTGTAATGGAGCATGCACTTAATGCTGTAGAATATTCTTCATTGAATACTACCAGATGACGTCATTTATTTTGTCTTTATGAGTATCATTCTCTCCGATGACAAGCGAGATCATTGCCTTCGGGTTTGGTTATCTTCTGTCTTCAGTTCCACATGTCGCTTTCTCATGCGATCATTAAATATGAATATATTTTACCCCATACAGATAGTCCCCCTACTTTTTGGTGGCATAACTTTGTGCCACCAGAAAGTTGGTAGAGATACCTTTCTTGGCGGAAAATTCTCTGACACCCTCTAAAAAGTTTCTGACAATTGATTAGATGGACGCCTCTCCATATTTAATGCCCCGAACACGCGTCATCCCACGATTCAGCATCACTTTTGCCGGTTATCGAGGTAATTATGGCCACGATTTTAGCCGCCTATTCCTTTACTTATACGTATCAAACTTCTTCATTTATGCTTCATAATTCTCTAAAATTTCTCAAACTCTCTTCACTCAACTCGTATTTTGTTCTTTAACCTTCTTCTTGAGAAAAAAACCTTCATTCCTTTCTGATAAAAAATGGCCTCTTCTTCTAGAAACCCTAGTTCTTCAAAGAACAAAAGTAAAGCTGATGCTTCTGCTCCTCCTTCGGTGAGCTCCATCATCCCAAAGAGTCTTGTCACAACTAAAGACTTTGAAGAAAAGTATCCTTCCATCCACCCTCGTACGTGGACCGTTACGTATACCCTTCTTCCATCTGTTCTTCCAGTATTTTTGTTGTGAAGGAAGACTGCCATTGTCAAGATTTAGACATTATCGCTCCTAACATAGCGGAGTGGATAACCTTACCTAAGAAGGGTTTTACGTATTTTTATATGTATCCCTTCACTTTCGGGCCGTTCTCTTTGAATGGAGAGCTTGACTCTGTCATCGTGGAGTTCTGCATCCTCTACCAGGTATGTCTGGTACAAGTAAGTCCTTATGTGTGGAGGACAGTCACTTGTCTTCGGCGTATGTGCCAGGATACAGGAGAGGAGCTAACCCTAGCTCAATTGATGAACCTTTATTCCCCCAAGATCTTCCGCGGGGGAATGATAAATTTGAGCAAGCGTGGCCACCATACTCTGTTGTCCAGGATGGATGATGACAATGACCATGGGTGGATGGAATAGTTCATTGCAGTCGCCACCAGTGACATCATTCCGGCCATGGCCTCATCCTTTCTAGAATTATGGAACCGCACTCGTAAGTTTTCAATTTGTCTTTACTTCTGTTAAAGATCGTCCCATATTGTTATTGACCCTTCTTCTTTCGCTTATTTCAGTGACTCGGTAAGTGCCCTAAGGTTGAAGGCTTGGACCAGTGGGTCCAGAAATTTTGGACGTTACTACGCCCGAGACCCGCACGTGGAAAGAGATGGCCCTTAGATATGGGTGGAAGGCAAAAATCATGGTAAGTCGAACTCATCGTATTTTTACCTTTCATATAAAAAAGTTGTTTAACCCTTCTCCTGTAGAATTCAGGTCTACCCCAGGGCTCAGTTATCGTCCCCGAGTAGGACGTTTTGGCTAATTCTGCTGATGCGGCGAGGTTGTTGTAGGAGGCTTTTACGAAAACAGGTGTCTCCGGGCCTACTTCTGGTGCAAGTGTTTCTTCTCAGAGTCCCATACCGGAGAACAAGCAACCAAAAAGAAGACGTTCCTCCGCGGTCGGGTAAAAGAATAAAAGGTAAATAGTGTCACTCCTGAATCATCTTCGAAAGTTATGGCGATGAGCCCCTAGCCCGAGCCGGCCATTGACACCGTGATGATTGACGATGATGGAGAAGCCAACGAGGAGGGGGCTTCTCTATAGAGAAGACGACGACCTTCCTCAGCTCAACATGCTGCTCAATCTGTTGAGTTAGTTACATTAACTGAGGATGATGCCTCGGCACTCTAGGGGGAGTATGACATGGTGGAAAATACCAACTCCCTCTTCAGAATCCCAGTCGACATGCCCGGTACAGTGAGGCTGAGTACTGGGTCCTGCCGTCTTCGGTTGATGAGCAACCAACGACCAACACTGCGCTTGTCGCAACCACTTTTCATCCTTCAACGCCATCAGTTTCATCTTTCTTTTCTCCAATTCTGCCTTCGCCACCAGCAACTGCTTCATCATTTCTGTCGGTCGCAACAGCTCGATATGAGGATGTCCCTCTTCTCCAGTCCCTAGTTCATGGGAACCTAGGACAAAATTATGCTGCCCCCTCAGAAGATCCCCAAAGGAGGAGGAGCACCACCCCCTCAGTTTCCACCAGATGCAATCTATTGTCCCGGCTGGTGGAACTTGCTAACTATATGAATCCCCTGGCTTCAGAGAAAGATAGGGAAAAGATACAAACTCTCTCGGGAGAGTGTTTGTTGAACAATGCCATGCACAACGCAACGACTGTATAGTTTTTACTTTCTATATTGTTTCATCTATTTGTATTATGACAAGATTTTGAATTTGCATTCTTGTTTTGCAGGCCAACTTCCTTACTTAAAAGGCTGATTCGCGATAAGGAGGAGCTTACCTTTGAGCGGGACCAACTTTTGGTCGAGCAAAATCAAACTGTTACTCGCCTCTCGGAACTAGAAGCACGAGCCGCTAAAGCTGCTGAATTGGAGGCTGAGTTGCAGCAGAGTGAGTAAGAAGTAGTGATCCTTATCCAAGAGGTTGTCCTATTAAGGGCATAATTTTGAAGAGACTAAGGCCAAATAGGTTGAAGTCCATAATGTTGTTCTTGCTGCATCCGATCGTAGTGCTGCTTCCGCTATAAGACTGAATAATTTGGAGGCAGCCTTAAACTCCAAAGCTGAAGAGCTTGATGCTTCCGGGGTGAAGTATGCCCAATTGGAAGAGAAAAATAAGAAAACCTTAGAGCATAATAAAATTTATAGCTCCATTGTACGTGATTTTGATGCCAGTCTCCGATCCATGAGATTCGCGCGAGACAACCTCTCTGCTGAGGTCGGCTAGCTCAAAGAAGAACTTCAGCACTGAGCGGCTTCCCTCATTGTTGAAAAAACATATGCTATGTATATCATGAGAAGAAAAACCTTGAGAGAGGCCAAAACAGGTGTCAATGACTTTGATGCCGAAATTGCTAAGGCCCGTGAGCTGGAGTTATCTGCTAAAAGGGGTCTTCTGGAATAGCTTGATGCTACCAATTCTTCTGGTTCAGGTTTTGAGTTTTCGGGAACTGGAGAAGAAACAGAAGGCAACAATACTGAAGGCCACAATGATGAAGGCCAAAATATTGAACCGTCGACGAATCCACCCACTTCTCCTGGGGGCGTAGAGGCTTGTCTTCCTCCGGGTTCCAGAGATGAAGCAACTTAATATTTGCTTTCCTTTTCAAGCTTTTTTAATTGTGTTGTTTGGCACATTCATTGTAGATAAATACATTTTTTCGTTCTAGTATCATATAAGTTTTCCTTTCTGCGTACTTTTGTTTAAACATTTGCGCAAGTTTGCTCTTTGCATCTTTTTTTGTTGAAGTACTTGCGTAGGTTTTACTGTTTGTGTGTAATTATGCAAGGCTTTGGGTGTATTTTTCCATGAAAGCATTTGAATTTCGGGCACAAGTTCTTCCGAAATCAACCCTTTATCGTGAGGGTTTTTTATAATAGATGACCCTCTTATGTTTACGGTGCTCTTGAAGAGGACGTCTCATGTTCATTATGACACTAGCATTTGAAGTACTCATTTAACTTTTAAATAATAAAATCAATTCATCGTTTAGATAAGAAACAAGATAGAATCAAAAGGACTTTATTTTATTCCTTTCATTTTCAAAAGTACATAAGCATTCGTTGTGCTAAAAATAAATTGCCATTTCTTGTGGCAAACTTGTACAACTTGTTTCTATAGGGCTGGCCGCGTAGTCCCCGGTCCCGATGATAAAACTATATTTTTGGGTTTCGTATTCTGGTCGAAGTAGCATTCGTTGTTG